TAAGATTTTTTCTTTTGATGGTGAATTTCAAATTTCCTCGAGCAATACTAACAGGGCCTTCAAGTTCACATCAAAAGTTCCTAATTAGAATGTTATGTGTGTTCCCCTTAGTATATTCATCAAAATAATCAATTTGAAGAACAAAATGAAACAAGAACTCAATTAGAATTTGGGGAATAGGCAAACAGACTTAGGGCAACTCCAAATGAAGCTCTCTGTGCGAAAATTGAATTACCTGAAATGGGCTAAACTGGATGGACCGGTGAAGAGCAAAATGCCAAGATTTTGAAGACTTGCAGTTTATGCTTTGCACTAACTTGGGAAATCTACAAAATTGCCAACAGAATATTCAAATTTCAGCAAAAAGGAAAAAAAAACTTTAATTATTGAACTTTTATCTTTTACCAACTGTTAAAATCCCTAAACCTATTTATCATAAATTACAAAATCACAATTCTTATAATCATAAATCACAAATTCTAAAACGTAAAACTTTCAAGTTTGGACTCACAGATGGAGGGCCTCGAGGAACTTTTCGTGCTTGGGATTAGTCCAGCTCTCCCACAACTTGGTAATGGTATAGGGCTTTCGGTCCTTCTTATTCGAGTCATCGGTCCCGTTGGAGGTTGAAGCTCCGACCGTAGGAGGAAACGACTCGAGATTCGGAAAAGCCATACCCGTCGGATCCAAGTAAAATCCTTCCGGTGGGTTCGGGTTTTTCTAACCAGTTGCTGAGAAATCAGGCAGAGAAAACCATTATTTGGAGGTAAATATCTTGGAAGGAAATGGGGAGAGCAAGGAAGGAAATGGAGGAAATTTGTGGAATTCTTCAAAATGAGGACACAAAATCGCGAGAGAGAGGAGGGGAAAGAAGAAACCGAATGAGAGAGAGAGAGAAATGTCGAGAGAGAAATGAGGTGGGTGAAGAATGGATGAGTGGGAGTTTGCGTGTAAGAATGGAGAGAGAAAGCTGATAGAAGCGAGAAGCGTACCGAGAAAGAAATGGCAGGAAAAGAAATTGGATGGGCTCGGCTTACATGACTCTACTCCAAAACGGCTCGGCTGGG